AAAGAGGAAAGGGATATGTTCAAAGAGCACCAGTCCTAATTCATTTAATATGTTGAAAATGAAGCAAAATATTTTAAAATTAAATTCTGGTGTACATTGAAAACTGAGTATAATACTCCAGTTTGCTCAAAGTTAATATAATTGTAATAATTTGGTAGATTTTCGGTAAGTATCAAAGACATACTTAGAGAATAAGTTATCACCTTTTAATAACTTATATGTACTTTGTACAAGGACGGAATTGCCTTTTCATAATCACAATAGGAAATTAACCGTGATACATTACTACATTCTAGTCTGAGTCCCCCACTTAAGTACTGCAAATTAGCAAAAGGGCCCAGTTCAGAATTAAGTGTTGCACACCGATGTCCTATCTGACATGGTCCCTTATACTTCCTAGACTTTCATGACCTGGACAGTTTGGAAGATTACAGACCCTTTATTTTATAGAATTTCATTCAATTTGAGTTTGATATTTTTCAGTGATTAAATTCAGGTAATAGAATGTTGGCATTAATGTCATTCATTGCATTTTTATAAGTGGGACATGATTTCAAATTGTTGCTTCCTAGTGATGATACAGTGGTGAATAAAGCAGTTCAGGGTCCTGATTTTGTGGAGCAGAGTGTCTGAAGGGAAAAAGAAATATTAGACAGCAAATTAACAATGTTCACTATTATAATCATGCAGAGAGAACAGAGTAGGGTGTACAGAGAGAGAGCAGTGAGGAAAGTCACTTTGGATGAGGTCATCAGTGAGGGCTGGTGATACGGGTGACTTTTCTGCCAGTGCCTGAGGAAGAACAGGCCAGCCTGTTGAGGAAGTGAGAAGAAGGTTCTGGAGGATCAGGTATGTGAAGCTCCCAGGCAGAAAAGAACCTAGAGCTTTCAGAACTTAAAGAAGACCCTGAGAAGGAAAAATAGTACAACAGCAAATTGGAGATGGGCAGGAACAACACAGGCAGAACCCATAGGCTTTTTTATGATGTCTTAGGTTTTTGTTGTTGTTTTTGTTTTTTTGGGGGGGGGGTGGTACCAGGGATTGAACTCAGGACCTTGCACTTGCGAGGCAGACAGAGGAACCACTGAGCTAAATCCCCAGCCCTTTCTTAGTTTTCTACTTAGTACTGTAATGGGAAGTTATTGAGGGTTTCAAATATGTGTTTAAAATATCTTTCTAACTACAGTAGGGAGACTACTCCTGGCACAGTTGGAAAAGCAGGCAAATCACATAGAACTGAGATTCTTAAATTTTTTGTGCTCTTGGCCCATCTAGCTGTCTGCTGAAAGCTTCTCAGAATAATGCCCTGTTTCCCCCAAAATAAGACCATTACTGTTCTTTTGCTTGGTGGCTACTCTGTAAGGCAGGTAAGGTGAGGATAGAGGCTGGCATTTTTGATCTCTAGTTTTCAAGGTTAATTATTTTCTGAGTAGGTCTCATTTTCAGGGAAACACAGTATGTTTTTACACTGTACAGAAAACTGTGTTGAAATATAGCTCATCAGAATATGTTCATAAAAATATTTTAAATATCTTGTAAATATTTCAGGTATCGATTTATTCATAAAATTTGATATAGTTACATATGCTCCTTTATTAACAGCTTACATATGGTCTCACAATAGATCAATAAAGTGAATGAACATACATGCAATGAGATAACTATAATGTTGAAAATACAGTGGTACCTCAGTTCAGGAACTTAATTAGTTCTACAATTTGGGAGAAGATGGCCGTTGTCATGTTCATCACCTGATGCAGAGTTTGTGAACAGAAGCAAAATTTTGCCAAATGCTTCTGTTTGCCAACCAAATTGTTCACAAACAGAATCATTTGTGAACCAAGGTATTACTATATTTGATATCTACTGGTGACTAAGTCACATGTACTGTCCATGTTACTGTAGAAGGTTGTCAATATTTATAGTGAAAGGAAATGATAAATCTCCATTTAAAGTCAGTGAAAATAAAGACATAATCTTTTTATCATCAAAGTTGACAGACCATTCTCTAGTTCTATCCGTGCATCTCTTGAAAAACCCAATTAATCACTTCTACGTGGTTATTTCAGTAATAATGGAGGGAGAAGATGGAGGTTTGAACTTGGGTATTTGTAATAGAGGTGACAATAAAAGAGGCCGAATTTGAAATTTGGGAGGAAGAATCCACAGGACAGAAAAGAGAGAGATTTTCTAGAGTTTTAGGGAGATCTCCATGGAAAAATGAGACCCAGGAATATAAAAGAAGCTGTGTGCAAAGTCTTAGGAGTAAGCAAGAGATCTTCGAGGCAGAATACTGCTGTGACTTACTATAAAGGAAGAGACAAAGATGACCATGGGTGAGAAAGGAAAAGTCTCCATAACGATTAAGTCAGGAACAGAGATTCACAGTTGGCTGCACCTCAGCTGAGACCTGGGGCAAACACTTACCTGCTGAAGCCTCCACTCACATATTCGAGGTGAAAATAACAATGCCTTGTGACCCATAATGTTGTTTTGGTTAAACAGTATGCTGTACGTAAAATGGTTTGCACAGTTCTGATGTGCTGCAAAACAAATATGAACAGTTATTCCAGTTACTAGTGGGATTCTGACATTGTGTTAGGCTGTCATCCACTGGAGATTGCAATCTAGTTCAGGAAAAAAGATAAAATGCATAGTATGTCTTGAGAAGGAATCCATTCAAAATCAGTTCCAATATAAGATATTAATGACTAAGTTATTAATTTTGCTCCCTATAGTACTTTCTGTATCATAAAAAGGATTTAGAAAATTCATGCCACTTATTTATACATAAATATTGCAAATGCATAGGGATGGACAGTTCAGTAGCTCTTCTCTATAATTGATTCCAATATTGCTCTCTTACTGTCTCCGCCGCTTAGCAGCTAAGTTCCTGTTTGGTACAATAATGACTATTGCTGAAATAAGTAAAAGGCATGAAAAAAGTGGTCATAATTCAGTCTGGAAATCTGACCTTCACTTTCATTTAGGAAATCTAAGACAAAAACAGGTTGTTGCCTTTTATTTTGTCATAGTAGCACTTCATAAAGTTGTGTGAAGAATTTCAACTTCAATCTCTGGAACTAGCCCCACATTTGAATAGTTTATATGCAGATGGCTGTGGCTTAATGGCAAAACATGAGGTTTCAAGCTCATTTCTCTATTGTGCTGTGCTGTATGACAATTTCTCATCTATAAAAGACAGATAATAATTTCTACTTTGGGACTGTTGTGAAGATCAGAAGAGAAAATTTAACTCAGTGTCTGGAACAAAGTAGGTTTATGATTATAGACCCACTGTGTGGTCTTATATAATCAGATCAGCTGCCATTCCACACCATGTCACATTCATTGGGAATCCTGAATGAGGGAACAGTATCCATCTGGAATATTGCCTCCATCAGGTCTGTGGCAAAGGGAACAGAGAGTCCAAAAGCCCAAGGGTTTATGGAAAGGGAAGATGAAACAAGTTTCATGCCCAACCAATAAATCATAAAAGTAACATACCTTTAAGTGACTGGGGTCTAATCAACTTGGCACTGGGGCAAGGAGCACATCAAGGGTGAGCCACTATGCCATGTGCTGAAACCTGAGTCAGTGAAGGGATTTCTAATGAGTATTTCAGCTGGCCAAGTGGTAGAGGGAGAAGTACAAACTAGGCCCTGGTTCTCCTACTCAAATGCAATCCATGTCAGCTCTGCTTGAACTTCATTGGCCTGAGCAAGCCACATGTGACATGGTCAAGTCTGATATCACGGTGTAGATCCAATTCTTCTAGGGAGGGGTGATGAATAGTTTCAGCAATGATGTAATCTATCCAACTCTTATGGGGGACGATGTTTTCAGTAGTCACTCTGAGAAACGTTGATAGTAGTACAGTGATGTTGCTCCCATGTAGAACAAATGGAGTGACCATCAGAACAAGTGTATTATGTCAATAAGCAGCTGACTCTTGACTTTATGGTTTCTGACCCCAAGTGACATTCTTCTGATTGATCTTCCACCTGGTTCCCAGACATGGTAGTTTATTTCTCAAACTAAAGTCAACCCCTTAGGCAGTGAAAATGTGCCACTGTTGATGCTGATCAAAGAAAGGTCCTATGGTGATTCCTAATAATGAGCTGAATAAATTTTGTAAGAAATGACAGTGTTACCAAAATTATTGGCAACCTCCAGTGAAGCATCCCTAAAAGGTAAACTGCTTTGTTTGAGTCATAGTTATGATATTATGTCATAATTATAGTGATTAAAGGCACATCCATTTTAAGATTTACTATTAATGGTTGGACATATATATTACTAGATTTACTTTATGATTTACTGGTGTATTTATGAATATATATAATAAAAAGATGTAAATATGTGCCATATAAGGTTAAGTTTGTGTATCTGTACACACACACACACACACACACACACACACTTATGAGTCCTAATTTGTTTGGTTAAAGAGGAAAATCAATATGGCTTTAGGCATCCCCTAGTACAGTCCCTGGAGCAGAGAGGTCCAACCACAGAGTGATCACAGTAACTAGCCCATGTGCAGAGTTTCCTGCATGCCAGGTCCTATATAATTTTCAGGGGTTATATCTCATTTATTTCACCCTTGCAACCAGGGCTGGGACTAGGGTAGGGCAAGTGAGGTGTCTGGGGTCCAGAATGAGGAGATCCCACTCTCTGGGCTGTCCAAGGGCAGCACTGACACTTCCACGATGCTGACCGGGAGTGTCTCCCTGGACTTTGGCCCTGAGTATCTCCCTCACCCTACCCTCACTCTAGACCTCCAGGCAGCATCCTGTGAGCTCAACATAATTGGCTTCATTCCCTGCAAGTGAGGAAAGACAGTGTAGGTGGTTGTGTCCTGCTATGCTCTCGCACAGTGGTGGAGTAAGGAGACGGCCTAGGCTATTGGACCCCAAAGCTTGGGCCTCACCTGAGTGCTCCAGACTCCTGAGTCTGTGCCTGCCCACAGCTCTGGTTGTTTCTGTCCTCCTTTTCAGGTCTCCAAGGCAGCTGCGGACTTGATGGCCTACTGTGAGGCACATGCCAAGGAGGACCCCCTGCTGACCCCTGTCCCAGCCTCAGAAAACCCGTTTCGGGAGAAGAAGTTCTTCTGCGCCATCCTTTAAGTCTCCAGGAGGAGGCTGAAGAGCCTCCGGGCTCCCGGGACATTGCCGTAGAGTTTCTAGCAAAGCGGGCACCTTCCTCATGTCCACGGCATTTAAAGAGAGGAAGGAGAAACATCGTGAAACTCCAGGCTGTGCATGTTTAAAGAACTGGCCCCTTTTCTGAAAACGAAAGCCAAGCCACATCCTGACTTAAGAGATCTGATTCTGCAGACCTGCCTGGAGGAGGGGAATGTATAAAAATAAAATTGGTGTCACTTCTTTTCTGCTATCCCCCTCCCCCTCGAGACCTTACGTTTCTGCTTCATATTTAAAAAATAAACATTAAAACAGACAGCTGTACTGAGCTAAGATGTGTATGACCTTCTCGGAATGAATATTGTCTGTAGATACCCTTTGATAAGCTTGAGTCGTCCAGTGTAGCCGCAGTTTGGTTTAATGGCATCGATGTTTAGTCCTTGTGCCTTTCTTTTTCTTTCTTCCTTTTCCCTCTTCCCCTGCCCCTCCTCATTAGAGTAGTTTGGAGATAAGGTGGACTTCTGTGTCAGACTGAACTCCAAGGATGAGCACCAGAAGCTTAAGGAGATGTTCCTCATGGTAATAACAAAAACGAATTGCCGGTTGTCTGTGTTTTCTTATCACTATTCCTAATATTTATACATGATAGCTTTGATTCTGCAAGTAAATCATGTGTTGTGACTGGTGCTTTCATATCTTTGTGATGATTTTTGAGTAATACTGCATGAAAATGTCCCTATGTTACATCCATTCAGAAGTATGTTGTTTTACTATAAAAGTAGGAAAAGAAATGAGAGAAAGAGAGAAAGACTGGGGAGGAAAGACCTCAGTAGTGTGAAAACTGAGATTATTTCAGAGCCTTAGCCATGCCTAAAATACCTCCTAATTAACCGTGGCATAAGCGCCTCTTCTCTAGTTTCCAGAATCCAAAGCATTTTGGTTTATCCAAGATCCAGGGCAGCACAAGTACCTCCCCCTCAAGCAGGACAGTTAAGATTCAACATGAGTTGAAAAGTGCTTTGCCAGAGAGTATGAGCGACTTCCCTCTTTCCCCAAATCTCGTTTGTTCAAGTACAGAAGAAACAAACCCATAGCGCGGAGAAGGTGGCCCAAGTGCAGAGCACCAGCTGCTCCCCCACCAGGGATCAGGATCCCAGAGCCCACTCTTTGGGTAGCAGTGCCGCCCCCGCAGTTGGCTCCACTGGAAAAGTATCTGGCTGGCTCTGAGATGGCCTGCATTTTTCATTTCTCAGTTTTTCAAAGAAATCTTTGCTTTTCTTCTCTACCTTGTTGGAGTCTTTCAGTCCTTACTTACAACTTCCGTGCATCCAGAGTGCTCCCTTCCCATGAGGAGAGGTTGAGAGCGATTCTTCACTGCTTCTAGCTGGAGCCTCCTCAGAAATGGTGGCCCCGCGCGAGCATGTGTCACTCTTTTCCAGGGTCTCTTCTACTCAAGGAGGGCCTCTCTCACATCCTGTTTGCTTTCAAACCCCAAAAGACCATTAACTCCCAATTAATTCTATTCTTCTCTCTTTCCTCACCATTTTCTTCCTCCTATGAAAGAAAAAAAGTACTAAAAGGGAGGAAAAGAAAAAATAAAAAAAGATTTACTATGCCAAGGACAGATTTTGAAACAGACTTGCTAAATATTCTCCTCGGTTTCTTTATGGACTTGCTGATGAAAGAACAAATTTCTCCAATTAAGGCTCGCTCACACCTAGGGTCGGGGAACAGAGGGTACTGGAGCATTTTTGAAATGTATGAACGCATTTCTGCAATAGAAGACTTCTGTTCTGAATAAACCTTAGGATTTTGTTCCAGTGGGCTGCTGATGACAATCCTTAGAGGGTGGACAGAAGCTGGCAGAGTATTTATTGAGCCCCAGTTTTGTTCAGTTAGCTCAGAAATGCTATGGAATCGACTAAGAATCCTTTTTTTTTTTTTTTGGTACCAGGGATCGAACTCGGGTCCTTGCGCTTGTGCAGCAGGCAGTGAAACCGCTGAGCTAAATCCCTGGCCCCTAAGAATCCATTTTTAAAGCAAGCTAAAACATAAACTGAGTATGTGGCCACTCTACTGTCGGTGATGACTACACAAAAGCTACCACCAGGCCCAGTTCATTTCCAATCCATACCATTTCTTCCTCTCAGAAGGACTCATTGTATTTCCACATCACTTGAGATTTTTTGGGCAATTCAAATGGAACTAAAAATTTCAGGAAGCCCTTCAATACTGGTTTGGCAAATACAAGTTAAAAAAGTTGTGCTTATAAAAGGAGGAAAGGACAGAAAATACACAGCCCATCTGAAGTTAGGGAAAATGTTTTAGCTTTTGTACCTTTTCATGTGTTACACTATGGAGTTATAATACCAGAATCCTTATATGAGTTTTACCTTATTGGTATTTGTGTTTATTAAAGCAGAAAAGTTTTTATTATATTATTTAGGCTCAAAAGAGCCTAACTTCTTTAGAAAATCAACAATAATTTTCACCAGCATAATTTTATCTTAAGGGTGACTATTAGGAAAATTCAATTTAGTTAAGGCCCTAATTTCTATATAAAATGTGGAATAATAACAAGAAGAATCAGCCATGGAGTTAGTCAGTAAACACAATAAACATATTTAGAATGCCAACTCTATAAAGAAAAAATATTTGCAACAGTCTCAATATTAACTGCAGTTTAAAATTTGTTATTTTTATTTGGGATAAAGTATTACTTAAATCAGAACTTAAAATAAGAATTTGGTTCTGAATCTGATTTGGCTAATAATATTTGGAAGAGACTGTCTGCCAAGGAAAAATGAAACAATAAAAACCATTTCTCTATACTCTTATGCTCACATAAGAAGTTTTGAGAAGGGCCGGGGCTTTAGCTCAGTGGTTTCGTTGCTGGCTGCGCAAGCGCAAGGACCCGAGTTTGATCCCCGGTACCAAAAAAAAAAAAGAAGAAGAAGAAGTTTTGAGAAAATCAAGCATCCTGTCTTAGGTGATTTTTAAACTTTTCTTTCTTTCTTAACATTTGCTTCTAGTTGCTCCTGGCAATGACGAATTGCTACATATACATTACTGTTTCTCAGCCCAAGGATTGTTCACATTTTTCCTATAAAAGATCTATGGAATGTGTCTTCTAAAGAAAAGGAATTGCAGAAATGTTAAAGCAGAAAAACCTGAATGTGATGTGCACATTTTCATCCCACATGGACAATGTATTTGTTTTAATAAATGGAATTTTCAGATTCATTTCATACAGAGTCAATTTCATTGTGAAGGCCTGTAGGCCACTTTCCCCATGTGTTCCATGGCTAACCGAGGAGGAAGTGATGACTCAGATTGATGGGGAAACAGGAATCTATTGATTTTCTTTAGGTCCCACAGAAAGGAAAAGTCACCTGAGACTTTACAAGTCTTTCTGCCTGGATCTCTTAAGTTTCAGGTACAGCCTTTGGGAACAAAGAAAGGTGGGCCAGAGAGATTTCAGGCCTCTGGCAGGCTGGGCCATGAAGACAGGTGAACTGAATTCTAGAAGCCTGGTGTGGGTGTGCCATAGGAGACTTTTTTCTTTACTAATGATAATATAGAAAGTGCTGTTCTGAATAAGCTGTCCATGGTTTAAAAGAAGTACGAGAGAAGGTAAATCCTTGGAACTCTAGATTTGCCAGTTCTTAAAGATCTCCTTAGTCCAGCAAGCCTTCCGAATGTCCCTCAAGTTATATAGTGAGTAGCAGACCTTCTTGGTAAACACTGAAGCTCCCAGGACTTGTGCCAGCAACAGCAGGAACTTTAAACCATGGAGTTGTGGCCAGTTGGAATTTATACACCAGCACCCCAAGGACGTCAGTTTCTCAGCAGTGGTCCATGCACCACGTGCTTCAGAATCACCTGGTATCTCTTAAGGCAGAGCCTGGGCAGGAATGGGGCTTCATAGTAGAGCTCTAGCCTAGCATGTTTAAGGCCTGGGGCTGTCTCTGGCACCAACAAAAACAAAACAAAAAGGTAGAGCTGGGCCCTCCATTAACTCTGAATCACTGGCAATGACAAGAACAAGCCTTCTGTTGCACAGCAGTGATCTGAGGACCAGGAATTTAAGTACTTAGGACAACTAGTTTTTCATAATGCCTAAGGAAAGACATAAACCACTGTAAACATGCTTACTTGTGTGCCCACAGAGCACAAATCGGCAGCCTGAGGCACCATGAGGAGGAAGCTCTGCTTCTGTTTCATTGAGGCCCTGGGGAATGCCTGCCTCAAGCTCTCCTTCTTTAATGAGCTGGTCACATTTTAAACGGCGCTTTACAATGACAGAGGGAATTGGAGCTGGGTCAGCTTCAATCCACAAATTGCAAACAATTTGCCAAGGGAAATCCCTTTCCCTTCGGTTCTGCTCCAAATCTACATTTTCTTCTATTTAGAATCAGGAGAGTCAGGCAGAATTTATTTTAATGAAGGGGGTCATGGGCTCCTGGCCTTTCCTCTGTGAGAACTCCTACTATTTCTTCAGGTCAGTAGGAAAAGCTGGGTTGAGGAAGGCTCCTCTCTACCTTAAGGTACAGAAAGGTGGCACCTGGCGACCTTGGTTCAATTTAAGTAAGAGGCCTTTGGCATGAGCCAGAGAATCAGAACTAGGCCCCAGAGTTCTGTGTGACCTTGTGCAAGTCCTCCAACCTCTCCATGTTGTAAAACAGGAATAAGAATTTCTGATTCCCTTGTCCCACAGAATTGTCAAAATCAAACAAATGAGAGCAGATAAAAGGATATCATGCAGGAAGAGGTGCAAGGGCTTCTGTCTAGATGTCTCCCCAAAGCCTCATGCACTCATAGGTGGGGCTTTTGGGAGGTGGCTAGGTCATGGGTGTGTGATACGTGGATTAAAGGTGAGTAGTATTGGATTAGCCCATTAATTTGTTTAATAGTTCTGGGTGTGGCTGAATGGATTTACTGAAGACAGAACTCCCACCCTAGGTGTGGGTGGCACCAACCAACAGGCTTGCAACCTGGACAGAATACAAAGGGAAAAGGAGGTGTGCCATTGCTTGCTGCTTCCTGCCTACCCTGCCAGGGACTGTTTCTCCTCTGCCATGCCACCCTGCCTTGCAGCCAGCCAACCATGGACTGAAACCTCTATAAAACTGTGAGCTAAAGAAATCTTTCCTCCTTTAACTTGTGGGTATTGGGCATTTTGTTCCTGCAACAAGAAAGTAACTTAAATGCATTGCTGGAACACTCCTTAAGATTCTTACATGCTTACCTGTGCCTGGACTTGAGGACAGAGTCACTGCTATCATGTGGGCAGAACAGCCATCATAAGTGTAAGACCATGGGCCTCACCAAATGCTACGAGGAGCTGACTATAGCAAAGATCACCCAGGAGGGAACACACCGGACAAGTTGTGAAAGTAAAACAGACCTATATTAGTCTGGTCAGACAGCACCCTCCAAGCACCAAGCTTAGAGAGGCTCCCGGCTCAGGGACTGAGGTCTTTTTATAGGGGTCACAAGAGGGAACTCGGCAAGCAAAAGTACAGAAGCGAGACGTTGGTGGTTGGGGTAGTGTAGCAACCAATCTTTACATAACAGGCATAAGGCTAACTTGCAGTTTCCTTGGAACAGCAACAAGTACATTCTGGGAACTCAACGTCCCCATGGTGAAGTGTAACAGAAGCAGACAAGATGGGGCCTTATTACAAAATGGAGTAACTTTTGTTCAGTCTCACAGTAAGGAAACTGAAGTCTTTGCCAGACTTATCATGGTACTACCACCCTCCCAGGCCCAGGGGATTCTGCTTTACAGTGCTCCTGTCAGATGCATTGGGTCCTCACCCAGCTGCCTGGCTCTCAAGGCCTTGGGGAGCCAGGTGCCACCCTGTAATCCTCTCCTGTTTCCCAAACCCTTTCTTCTGGCTCATAGATTTCCCTCACTGCCCTGTGAGTATATCCCATTCCAGCCCTTATAAGGTTACCCCCCTTCTCATGGGACAGCTCAGTTTTGCTCATCTTTCAAGGCCCAGTTTGGATTCCATGCTATCTATGAGTGGCTTCAGGGAATATGAATCTCTTTCCTCTCTCAACTCTTTGGCCCTGTTACCTCCTCCCCACAGAGGTATTCTACTGTGCTGGAGGCCTTGTGTGAGGGCAGACAGCATGGCACCTCCCTTCATAGAGCTTAATGATCAAAGTGGACAAGTACATTGGGAGTTACCAGGGATAAGGTTCTAGGACACAGGAAGCTGAGAGGAGGTCAAAGGTGGGTCACCAGACTGAGGAAGTGATACTGGAGTTAATAATAGCCCACTAGAGATGTTTGTCTCTCAGGGAAACTGTAACCTCCTCAGGCACTGAAAGCACCAGTTGGGTAGGGTTCCCTTTAGTCTTCCTCCAATCTTTTTTTTTTTTGTATTAAATTCTTTTATTGGTACATTGTAGGTATACAACACAATTACATTTCTCATTGGGAATTGTACCTTTACATAATGC